TTTTCTTACGGGGACATAAAGCAACATAACAGAATATAAATGATTCAGTTTTGGAGTGAAAATATGTGTTAGGGTACAAGCAAGTAGTAGTTAGTAGTTATGGTTCATATATAAATATAAAACATAATGTAATCAATCATATTAAATTATGGTGACACGCGATTTTGTGTGTGGCGTGCATTTGGAGAGGGGTGGATTGAAACCCTGTAATCCTTCATCTGATCAAAGTAGCAACAGCTTTTAAATGATTTAATGGACAGGTACATTTTAAACGTCCATGTACTTTACAGCTGGATCAGTGTTTGGGCTTTTGATCAACATAAATCCTGGAGAAGCCCGTCAAGGCAAAAAAAAGATGGTGATGAATTTTCTAAGTCTGATCTAAATCATTTTATCTTCTTCGTTATTTTTTTAATTTAATCTGAGAAAAAAAGTGAAAAGTTTTGGAAGGTCTGAGCTTTCTTTAGGAGAGAAATCAAATCTTATCAAAAGGAGGCCTCTGACATAAATATTTAGGGGTCCTTTAATAGATGACCACAAAAATGTACCTGGAGCCCCATAAAACCGTGTTCTAGCTGGAATACTGAATTAGCGGGAAAATATTTTTCAATTTGCTTCCATCCAACATGACTTAAGGAACCATGAGTTCACACACAGTTTCTACATAGATGACTCTGCTGGGAATTTAATCTCCACATCTTGGAATATTAGTGCCAATTAAAATGAGCTATAAAGAGTGACCAGTATTTCTTCATTGCTAAGTTATATAGTCTTTTATATGGTCTGAAAACATGGCTGATTGAATCATAAAACGTAGTTGATGTTAAGAGTTCGGCATGAGCTCAAACAAATGACAGGTATCAAGAAATCTCATCATTAATTGAGAGTAATTCATCTTTTTTCACGATTAAGACTTAAAAATACAGTTTTCCCTCATTTTCACAGGCACACAAATACAAAGATTTGATACACCAGAGCCAAAAATTCCCATTTTAGCATTTGAACTGATCTCTCGGAATCCTTTGTAAAAGTAAAATACAATTCAATTTAATTTAACTTTTAAGGGCCCCCTGCTTCACACACCTTTTGTGAATTTCTAATCCTGCAACCTGGCTACATGTAGCAGCACAAATCAATAAATCTTTTCTTACCACATTAACAATGAATCTAATGTGTAACGTGAGAGGGGCTGCGTATGGTGACAAACCACCAGACAGGAGCAGCTTTCAACTCATTGTTTCGGTTTTACAGCCTGCAGCTTCAATGTTGTAGTTCAGTCTCTACGCTTTCATTAACACTATTCCCAGTTAAAAAAAGCTGTGATGAACCCACTGTTCACAACCTCCCCGACACCGAACTGCAGAAAAGTGACTGACTGGTGAAGAGAGGCAATCATTTAATGTCTGAAGAGCCAGTTATCTCCTAAAGAGGTGGTGAAAACCCAACCGGAGCATCTGCAGTTGAAAGTTCTGCCTGTCTGTGTGGACAGTAAAAACTAGTATATGGACAACAAGCAACATGCACACATTTTTTTGGTTCATTATGAAACTGTGGCTGGTCAAATAAAATGTGGTGGGCCTGTCTAGACTTGGCGAGAAAGGGCATTAGCGGCGGTACATGATACGACGGGAAAAATATATTTAGTTTTGATGCAGATTTTTTTTTTCCACTGTCTTCGATGTAACTTTACATTGATGTTATCAGACCACTTCCTTTTTTATTTTACATCTCTACTATAATAACTAAACAATCATGTGCAGGTTTGGTGTAGTGCCTCCAAGTGGCCAAAAAAAACTGTTTCTAGTTTCTATAAAACATCTATATCCAGACTGATCAGCTAACTATGGACACCAGATATAGATGGTGACGTAACACACGTCCTCTCTACACTCCCAAACCTTTTAAACTCACTTATACACTCATGAATAGGGGTGATTGCTCATCTGTGTAACTCTAACTGAACACCTGCCTGTATGTTTGGTGTAATTCCATCAAACAGAGCAGGAGCACGTCTGAGAGAAGGGTTTCAGTCCCACACTGTGCTATGTGGCTGTATCTGCTGTGACAACAGCAGACAACTCCACTGACAGAAAGCTTGTTGGTCTTTGAGGCTTCTGTTGTGTAATCTAGTGGATCTAATGACTTGCGTTTAGTAACCTGCAGTTTCTCTTGCGTAGTTCGATGTGATAATTCAGGCGAGATATATGGAATAAGTGAGCAGATGTGCGACAGTCAATCTCTCCTCAGGTTGAATGTTTATCCTTCCCACCATCCTGAAACTTGCAAGATGAGTTATCTAACATTAAATGAGACTTTTTGTCACTATGGCAAAGTTAAAAATAGGATAAACTGTTAAATATTCTGGGTTTCAAAGCTAAAAGCTTTTGTCTGTACAGTTGGGTTTATTGTACAGGATTAGTCTATTTGTGTATATATGAGTGTGTAAAGATTCATTTATGTGAACAAGTTTAGGAATGTGTGCATCACAGTGAGTCAAACATAAATGAAATAAAAATACATGAGAGAATAAACTGTGCATGTAGATCAATACATGAGACCTTCACTGGCATAACTATCACACTTCTCCTCACGATTTCCATTCGATACTCACAACACGGAGCCCAAACTGCTATTTCATTGGTGTAAAACTATTAACATCAATAACCACCCTTTGTTCCTCTTTTCCTTTTATTTCTAGAATAATAGAGCATAAAACACACACATCTGACTGAAATATTTAAATTAAGTCGATAGGCTATTATAGTATGGAGGAGGGGGTGTATTTATGTTTGTGTTTCCTTTGTATTTATTGAAACTAGTGTCTTTGTTCATGATGTGCATTTACAATTTAAATTCATTTCACAGATTCATCCTGTTGCAAATATTTTAAATCCATTAGCTGTATTCAAAGCGAGTTGTATTGAGTTAAGAAGCCAGGGCACTGAGTCATACTTTATGACTAAACCTATTGATGTGAAAATACTTACTAAAGTATTTTTAAAAAATGCTTGTGTATTTGTGCCTTATGATTCATGAGCAATTTATTGCATTAGTTTCCTAATGTGTCACTGCTTCCCTGAAGGACCCTTTCCCTACCATTAAATTACTGAGCGTTCATTGTGATTTGTTTGTGAAAATACTAACAATCTTCTAAAAAGGCCTGTTTAGATTTCCACTCCTCTGTCCTGCTTCAAAAAATGTGACTCTTGTTGATTTAGCAAAAATATTAAACATGCAGAAAGTCTGCACTTAAAAAAAAAAAGCACAGGCAAGAGAACAATAACCCCATCTGGGTGTCATGTCCAAGTATATTTACTGCCATAGTTAATTTTTGATCTAGATTTATTCATGGCGCTTTGAAGCAGTGTGGCAATACAGCGCACAATTTCTCACTGATGTGGCGACGTCTAAATAAACAAAGACTTTAATGCTGCTCAACACTGAAATCCTGTTAGTGAACTACAGCAACAATCACTCACTGTCAGTGCACGAGGTTGGTAAAAGAGCCTACGCGTCCTCGCCGAAGACAAAACATGAACAGAGCAGAAAATAAAACACTGGGTGTAGAGGACTATTTTAATTATGGTGTTTCGTATTTGCCTCAATAACTAATGGAAATCAGATGAGAATATCTTGCTGCAGTAGTAGGTTATCCAACCTAATGAGCTTATTGTTAAAGAAATAAATGTGTGCTTTATTAAAGACACATGAGCTCGTGAAATGAAATGCTAATTATATATGGCCATTGTTAGGCCCATATGGAACATGTTAAAGTCCCTCTGTGTTTCTGTACATTCGAGAATCACATAAACATTCACACCCTTCCCCCCCATCAGCACTCGGCCTGACCAACAAACCTGCTCCTCCCCACCACAGCAGTGAGCTGCCAACCTGTGGGAAGCTCTGCACTGAATACCCTGAATACTGATACAGTTTCTGTACGAGCAACACTGAGGATAAGAAGCAACACGGATCCTGATATCATCATCACAACTTTGGACCACAACAGAGTCGTACTTTTCTCCCTGCCTCAAAAACATCCATGATCTCTTACCCTCCTGAATGATGACGGTTTTATCTGTTGGGATTATTAAAACATTTTGGGCCGCAGCTTTGAGGGAGGTTTTATTTTTGCTTGTCACTAAAAATTACAAAATGATTGATCAGAATTCTGATATGGATGTATTAATACCTATGGTTTTATTCACTGGGAACTGATACAAAAACCTCACCTGGTTAATTCTTTCCTCTGTTGCCAACTGTATGAATCTGTTTTCAAGTCAATTATATTGCTCATGTTTACTCCAAGTGACTTTTGAATGATCACTCCTTCTCTTTCATTTGAGGTAAACCATTGGAGATGATGTTTCATAGGTCAACCAATCCCCACTGACCTGTTTGATGAGAATAGAAGACACCTTAGGGGACGGAGAACACCTGCATGTTTGGCTAATGAGGCCTTGCAGGAGCTTCACTCATTAAAACTGTATCGCAGATCAATGGCTGATGCAAACATACGGCTTTAGCCACGCAGAGGAAGGGAATGCATTATGTCAGAACGGATGGTAATTACGATAAGGAACTTGAATTTGTGCCACAGACGACATGTAGCGACTGAATTGTCTCAACAGAAGCCAGATGTCTTACCTTCACTGCAGTCCTTTCCCTGGAAGCCAGTCTGAGAGCAGTCACAAGTTGGTTCATTGTTAATTAAACTGCAGACTCCTCCATTTAAGCACATGTTGGCTGTACCGCAGAGGTCGCGTAAGACCCCCTCACTGTTGACCATTACAGACTCCGTGTTGTTGACCTTTATGTCCGTTAACCATCCAGTGAAAGGCTGCTGATCCTTGACTGCAGCTGACGTCAGTCTTAACGCCACAGATCGTATTTCCGGTGGTATTCCGCCAACAAACAAATGGCTGAAAACAGTCATATCCCGTCTTTTTGACTTCACCTCGACCCACTTTATCTCGTTGTCCACCATCAGCGTTGTGTTCTTAAAGTTTCTCCTTATCGTGACCGCGTGCCACTGGCTGTCGTTGACCGCTGTGTCAGATATGACGGTCGCGGGCTCGGCACAGAAGATGGAGAATCGCAGACTGAGTTTGCCGTTCAGGATGAGAAGTTCTAAGAAGTCACAAAATCCCTCGTCATCGAAGTAAACCAGCAGCCCGTGGGAACTCTTGGTTTTCATGTTGAAGCTCATTTCACTTTCGCAACAAGCATTCCACACTGGAAATCTTGCCCACTGTCCCTCGGCACCTGTGAATTCTAGACAAGTACCTATTTCTACAAAGCAGCAGATGAGCAGCCCAGCCCATATGATATGGGCACCATGTGGCTTTTGTAAAACCATCGTGTGATCACAGACTCTGTGTAAGTGGATACGGACTGAATTTACTTGTAAGAAGCGTTGCTTAGGCAAGATATGTGTTGGGTTGATTGCGAAAGAGTAGACTGGCATATAACTGACTGTCTACATGAATATATAAGAGTGAACTGATGCATTTTAAGACAAAACATTAATTGCATATCAGTGGGCTTGGCCAGCACTTATTTCCTGGAGCAAATACCATTACCTCAAACTGTCCAGGCCACCGGCCAAAACTCTCACTGTTTGCGCCAAAATAGTTTGAACTGTTCAAAGGTCCCCTCTGCCATGGCTATTTACAGCAAAGTGACGGAGATTCAAATATCCATTGGGCACACTTGAGGTAATTTATGTAATTATGAAACGCCTCTGGTGCCGGTTAGAATGTACACGGTTTCACTCAAGTTGAAATGGCAGCTTTAATCTTCATGTTCATGCCAACATTCTTTGGCGGGTAACTGGGAGCCTCGCTCGGGGCTTTTCACCCGGCATCCTCTGTAGCAATGGGGGAAAATGTCCTATGGAGCCACGCTGGCGATAAGCTCAGCAAGGGAAGCAGTCTGTGGGCAAAAGGCAGTCCTCACTGGCAAAGCTCCCTGCAAAAGAAAAGCAAATTCAGTACAGTATCAGCATTTTCTCCATATCTGTCTCCTAATCCACTTTGGTCAAAAGCCAAAGTTAATGCTATGATTAAGGCAGAAGCACCAATGAGGCACTTATATCCAGAGAGGCCATTGTTACAGCAAACACATGCAGTTTCATTAGATTAATATCACCAGGGCTTTCCAGGAAGCACAGAGCAGCAGTAAACACACAGACTAGAGACACATTACTTCATTTCAGTACCGATCACTGTGTGGGCATCATTCTGTTTGCAGTCCCTCAAAAAAAAAAAAAAAAAAACCACATGCAGATATTCCTGCAGATTTTGAAATGATCGTGTCTGATCTTCACAGCCTGCATCATAAATCGCACATCTAAAATTCCCGCAGACATATCAGTTATAACATATATAAAAAAACAGGTTTAAAACTGGTTTGCAACATAACTTTTATCTAAAAACGAGTTACAACTCATTCCGATAGTGGCCTGCCCTCTGCTCAAGTCCCAACATGAGGAAAAAGTGCGTCATTTGATTCACAGTGGTTGGTTTGTGTAAGACGAACCAGTGGAGCTGATGATACAGGTTCTCAATCAGACCCCAAAATGTGCTCCTCACACATACTGTCGCCTCCTGTCACTATATATTTCATTTGCACTATCAGACCAATTCTGCGTGTGAAAAAAAAAAAAGACTAATAATTCAAAATCTCCGCAATTAGTTCCCATCTCACAGAGGTAACATACACCAGCGCTGCCCGGACTGTGGCTCCGCTTCACTTATCACAGGCAGCGCACTTTACCCAGACTGAGATGATCGTTTGAATGTGATTTCTGTCTAAACATCCAAATGATCATCAGGATTTAAATGAGACATATGTGGGATCATCTCCTGTGGAATCGATCTTTTCATATGATCTGCAGAGACAAGACGTTATTCCTGTTTCCGCCATCACCTCATCAATAACATGCCTCAACATGTTCGCCGGGATGACAGCTGGAAAAGGCGCACGGTTATGCTGCTATTTTATGCGGCGTTTCCAGCGCATAGCTGTACAATCAAGACGAGGTGTTATTGTTACCTTTGCGTGCGCACCTTTACTTCTACGGGACCCTGAATAGTTGGCACAGGAGAGAGAAGGGGAGGGGGGGGGGGACAACACGGTGTTTTCCGAAGCATCTATTTCTAATCCTCCCTCATCAACATCTGATTCCGTGTGAATCACAGCATCAGCCAGAGAAGAGAGAGACAGAGGGGGACAGGCAAAGACGCGTCCACTTTCTACTCTCCAACTACTACAAAATAAAATCCTCACAGGGTGAGTGGTCAGAGAAGGGAGAAAAAGAACAATTACCTCACATATTTCGTCCTCCCAAGTTTGTTTTCCCCGATTCCAGGAGAAGAAAACGCAAACTGGAAAGCCGGAGAGAGGATCAAACCGCTGGATGGAGAATAAGGAGGAGAAAATCCAGTTATGTTGTGTGGAGGGAAGCGCTGCAATCTGGTTTCCCTGTTGAGCTTCTCCAGCGACTGTCAGGAGCCACAGACACCGAGGATCACGTGTCTCTCCCTCTCTCTCTCCCTCCCTCTCTCTCCCTCACTCTCTCTCTCTCACTCTCCCTCTTTCTCTCCGTGATGTCTGCCGGGGAGGGGCTGAATGCAGCACCTTGGACAGCGCCTCTGCCTCCGCCTGCATCCATCTCCGGACATGGCACATGCAGGCGAGTTTGGAGAGGAGGCTTGTAAAACTGCCCTGATTGATTAATTGATGGAACTAAAGACACTGAGCAGACAGGGAGGGTTTTGTGTCTGCGAAGACTATATGGTCAGTGTCTGCTACACAGAAAACTATACCAGGCAAGGCAGTTGTATCTATAAAGCAGTTTCATACACAGATTCAAGGTGCTGTACAGGGACATAAAACAAAACACATTTTAGAAGAGAACTATTTCAATTCTGAAGGCACAGTTAAAAACAATCATCAAGTAAAATAAAAGATTATAAAGAGCTGAATAAAAGATGTACAATGGTTAAAAGAGGTTAAAGGAATAAAAAGGTTCAAGCTGTATCGACATTTAGAGAGAGAAACAATACACATTAAAATGGATAGAAATATAGAATAAAATACAGTATGACCTTGTTAAAGGCACTTGTGAATGTAATGGTTTTCAACCTGGTTTTCAAAACTGCGATGGACTCACACTTCTCTGTTATGTCTAAACTATTGCTGCAGAAAAAAAATATGAAAAACAGCACACCAAGTTCTAGTGTATGTAATGAGATCCAGCTAAATGGATAACTCCTCAAGGAGAGAAAAAAT